TGTCTGGGGACCCCAAGCCTTGGTTCTTGCCAATCTGCATCTAGTACTTTCCGGAATTAGGTAAGCAGGATGTGTCCCTCCAGGGAGAGAGTGCACATTCCATTCCAACAATTTATCTCTGGGATTTCCATGTGTAGATGGGATGGATGGAATTTACAGCTTGGTTTGGATACGCTTAAGCATGGGGATGGGTTTCCTCATGTGTCAGACACCCGGCGGAACCCCAAAGAAACAATATGAGGTTGGCGCAGTCAGGTCCCCAGTCTGTAGCTGTCTGCTCTCTGAGGCAACAAGAAAATCAAAGCGGAATTGACTTATCCCTTTCTAAACTAGAGCTTATTGCGAGTGCAAAATAACCCAAATGTGTTGCTGGGTGCCCTCGCTTGCGTGCAATCGTAATCCCACTCAATCATCACAGCACATCTCTGCCGAAGTTTTCCAGCCCGAACACAGAGTCAGAAACGCAGAGGGGCAAGAGTTTTTGAAGCATTCCAGTCTTTGTCTGTGCTCCGAATCAGCAAAGCCCACGGTTGGCCTGTGACTGATACAGCCAAACGGATCATGACAGCACTTTCAAAGGCAGTTGCTCTAGATATCTTTCTGATGAAGAAATGAATTGGGGCGTGTGAGAAACAGAGCAGCGTGGGATTGTTTTCTTATAAACTTTGTGACCAGTTTGGATTGACTGCCGTGGCACTTTTCCCACCCTGCTCTTTCCTATGTTGCTACTCTTATTAACTATGATGATATCATCTCAGGGTTGTTTGTTAGAGAAAATTAGAGGGGAGAGAGGCAACCCAGGTTATGATATTATCATGTGTGAAAATAATACATAATAATAATAAACCTTGCATTTGATAATAATAAACCTTCCACATTGAGAGGACTTCTCAAAGCAATTTTTGTCATTATTGCTATTGCACTGTAAGGGTGAGACTTTGCACTTTAATTTTGTGATTGTGACTTTGTGATGCACTGATTGTAATGTTTTGTGTATTAAATTAAAATTTGGTCATTCAATCCATGACTGTTTGTTGGACGCTGCTGTGCACAATTGGCTGCCACATTTCACCCACAAAATACACAGTCAATCCACTTTACAGTATATTCTGTGAAGCGCTTTGAGACCAATCAAAAATGTGATAAGATGCTATATCAAATGCAAGGATTATTATTATTACTTTTTACAAAAAAAAAGAATCCTTGATGGAAAAAAAAACCTTGTTGACTTGTGATCAGTTTCGCCTCAGGAATACTTAGGCAAAGTTGTTATGATATTTAGGTAAACCTTTGCCTAAACAGCATTTAAACATCATTTAGTGAATTCACTTTACAGTATTGTTATTACTTTTTAATAATAATGTGGAGTCCTGTAGCTCAGTTGTTAGAGCACTCGCCTCACAAGTGAGAGACCTGGGTTCGATTCCTGGCAGAGTGAAACCTTGGGCAAGTTTCCTTGTTCCACACACCTGATAATAATCCCTCAAGAAAAGAAATCAATAATAAATTGGTCACTTCGATCCACGACTGTCTGTGGGACACTGCTGTGCGCAATTGGCTGCCACGTTTCGTCCACAATTATACAGTCAATTCACTTCACAGTATATTCTGTGAAGCGCTTTGAGACGTCTAAAGTATGTGATAAGGCTCTATACTAATGCAAGGATTATTATATTTATCATTTATTGTTAAATATTTGAATATTATTTAAACAGGCAGATAACGAGGTCCCTGACTGAAGCCTGAGGTTCAGGCTGGATTCACAGTGAGAAAACAAGTAATAAGCAGCAGTTAACAGATTCAAAAGGGATTGTGGCTAAAAAAGAAAGAATCTGGAGGTTTTGTTGGTTAATGCACTGGCAACTGTTTGTTTCTAGATTTGCATTTGATTAACCCGCGGGCTTTGATGCAGGTCAGTGTTCCCATGGGCCCTCGAGAGCTTGAAGGACAAATCTATTCGAAACGTGGCCCCTACACTTCTCCAGGCTGATCCTTCCCATCAGAGACACAATTCGGTTGCCATAGTGCTTGCCCGTTCCGCAGGAGCCAAGACTGTTTACAGTGCGTGACAGAACGGAATAAATTCTCACCCCTCCACCCCTTACACACACACCATACAAAGTCTCTCCAATACACCCCCCCCACCCACTCCCTCCCCTCCACCTCCTGTTTATTACTTGTTTTCGCACTGGGTTTCCAGTCTGAAACTTGGGAATCAGCCAGCGAGCTTGGCATTCTCTTATTGCTAGGCGAAGGCAGCAGTGTTTCATTTACCTAAAATAATATCATTGCTGAGGTGCGGATGTCAATACTGATTCAAAGTTAACGTCATTCAATAAAATACAATAAATACACCACAATACCTTGGTTTAGGGGAGAAATTTCATAGGAATTGCCCTGCAATTGCAGTGCATTGGCAACTCTTTATTTCTCTTCCCCGTTTCACCATCTGTTCTCCATGTCTTGGAGCAATACCCTTGCATTTTAAGTAAACTGTCAAGCTCCTTTTGACGCATGTCTGGCCATGAAGGGCTGCGATTTTGGCAGCAACACAACGATAAACGGACCGAAGGATCGGTCACAACAACAATAATTTGCAATCATATAGTGCCCTTCACACGGGGCAGCGACTTGGAGCGCTTGACTGAGGCAACGCCCAGAATAATAAATAATCTTTACATTTGGTGCAGTGACATGGCAAGAGGACATCTCAAAGCACTTCACGTGATAAAAATATAGTGACTGTATATTTTGGAAATAAACGTGGTAGCCAATTTGTGCACAGCACAGAAACCATGAAATGAATGATCAATTTTATCTGGCCAGGACACCAGGAGAAACTCCCTTATCTTTTCAAATAGTCCGTGGGATTTTTAACGTCCACCTGAACAGGCAGATGAGATCTTGTACCTTCGACAATCCTACACACACTCAGCATTACACTGGAGAGTCAGACTAGAGTGTGAGTGTGAGTTCAAACACGCCTCTGTTAACCTAGTAGTAAGTAGGAACCCGGTTGTTAGTCGATTGGTGAGTCGCTTTTCCAGAGGTAATAATTTCTTCAAAAAAAACTACTAATAATAAATTGGTCTCTTCAATCCACGACTGTCTGTGGGACACTGCTATGCACAATAGGCTGCCAAGTTTTGCCCACAAAGTACAGTCAATTCACTTTACAGTATATTCTGTGCTTTGAGACGTCTTGAAGACGTGATAAGCTGCTATATCAAATGGAAGGGTTATTATTATTATCTTCGCTAGCACATGGTCAGCACACAGTCTGCACACACAATCAATGCACGCAGTCACACCGTTAGCACAGTCAGTGGTCAGTGCATACAGTAAGTGCAGCCAATGCACACACACACACACACAGCCAGTGCTGCAACCCAGATAATGTGATCTCACAGCTCACAATCAGCATTTAATACACTCTCACATTGTTCACCCTGCGAATCCCCAGAGCACAGCTCCGAGGAGTAACCTCAATCGTTGAATGAAACCTTTGGCACAATATTTACCTTTCAGACATGAATCACCATTTGTGTACAGGACCATTTATCTTCTTGGACTTATGAAATTAATCTTTCAAGATCTCCTTGACATCTAGAAAGTTATCTCATGCATAGCAGCTGAGTCTGCATTGCCCCCTATTCCCCCTTGCCCTCCCACCACACAAGTAAACACTCTCCATTTGCAGACTACAAGGATCAAGGTTTATTTGTAAATTCACAAAGAGAAAGATATTTTTTCTCTCCCCACCCCCCTCTTTGACATTCCTTATCAACATTGTCCATTTCATGCTCCCCACAGAAGCAAAGCCATCAAAGTATCCTTTGTGCTGGGGAAAAAAACACCACTTTATTCTCCTCCAGCAAATACCCATCATTTAGCCAGAGCAGCGGGGAAGCTGAATGGTTTCAAGCCAGGGACAGACCCAGATGTATTCGAGCTTCTGTCAGACAATTTCAGTGCTTCACCTGATCTATGGCAACAAGCTGAGAAAAGGTCACTCGTGTTCATGTAGAATACACTCACAGGAGAGCCACAAATCACTGGCTAAAATATCACACCGAAAGCGCCGCCTGGCTTATTGACGACTGGGGACCGTTTGCCTTAAACATACAGTAATGAAATTGACCGGGTAAACTTACACTCCTGTAACCAGCACCGGATACATTAGATGCATTGAAGTGGGGCGGGGAGAAGCTTGCACTGTAACCATTAGCCTGAATGTTGCTGATCCTAATGGAACAACAGGAGGCACTTAAATGCAAACTGAGCTGGTGCCTTGTGTGGCAACAACAACCACAACTTGCACTTACATAGCACCTTCCACACAGGGTAGCGTCTCAGAGGGCTTAACAGTGGCGGAGCCTGACTCCAAGCCGGGTGAGGGGAGTATGAGAGGTGACAATTGAGATGGTCCTTTCCTTATCATCGACATTCAAGCCTAGTGTTCACAACGCTGCATACTGTAAAGTGCAGTGACTGTGTTTTGTAGAGGAAATGCGACAGCCAATTTGTGCACAGGAATGTCCCACAAACAGCCATGAAGTGAATGATTGATATTTATCAAGGCACCAGGAGAAACTACCTTCTCTTTTCGAATTGTGCTATTGGACCTTTAACATCCACCTGAAGAGGCAGACGGGGCCTTGGCTTAACATCTCATCTGAAGGACGGCACGTCCAAAAATGCAGCACATCCCCACTTCTTTGGAGTGCCATGTCAAACTATATAAGGTCCAATCCCTATGTGGGCTTTGAACCCACGACTTTCTATCTCAGAGATGAGCATTCTACCAACTGAGCCAGGCTGACACAAGCTCAATTGTTTTTCCCTTTTATTTGTATTTGTCACGTCCTACCTTCTCGCTTACTATATCAAATGTAAGGATTATTATTATTAGTAGTAGTAGTAGTAACTTTCAAGACTTCATACACCATTGCAGTTGAGTTGAATCTTGTTTTCTACATGTATCAGTTATAACCACTTACTTCTTGATCCTTTTGTCCTCTCGCCTGCTCTCTTCAACCTTCGTAGTTTCTTGCATCATCTTCCTGGTCATTCACTGAGCCAGTGTAAGACCCCCAAATCGCATCCTGTGCAACATATTATTTTCGGTAAATCTGCATCAATCAGTTAAACCTCCTTATTTTACAGGGATAAGCAGGTGATAGCTGCAGCACTAACAGCCAGACATCCGGAGGAGATAGAACAGCAGAGGGCACCTGAAAGAGAGTATAATGAAGCACAGAGAGAAATAGGAATAATAACCATGGATTTATGGGAGGGAGGTCACGCCTGAAACATCTACAAGGGGAAGTCAGTAAATGTTGTAGCCTGGCCTAGTTGGTAGAATTCTCGCCTCAATCCACAATCAGTGCCTTGGGATGTCCTCCCAACGTGAAAGGTGCTATATAAATGTAATTTTGTATTGTATTGCAGTCTGAAGATTATGGGTTCAAGTCCCACATCAGGATTGACACGCCATCACAGTGCTGTGTTGTTAGAGGTGGCGTCCTTTGGATATTGAATTCACACAGTCTAGGCTGACGCTCCAGTGCAATGCTGGGGGAGCACTGCATTGTCAGAGGTGCCACCCTTGGATGAGAATTTAAACTGCCTGTTTAGGTGGATGGTTTCACCCACAAAATCCTTAGTCAATCCACTTCACAGTATATTCTGTGAAGCGCTTTGAGACATCTCGACGACATGATAAAGCGCTATATCAATGCAAGGATTATTATTATCAGTAGCAGTATTATTAAGGGATTGGATGTGAATGCAAGTTGTCGTTGTTAGTCGAGAAACAGCTTTTCGAACTTCTTAAAAAGAAACCGGCTTCTAAGTGAAAACTGGATTGAAGGTCATTCAGGAGCTCTACCCCACCTGAGCCAAAATTGGCTTCAGGGGCTGGGACTATGGTGGAATCTGTAGCCTCTGAAGTGTGGGTAGCATATACGGAAGGATGGGCAGAATCAGAAGAAATAGTGTGTAGCTGTGCACTGTTACTGCCAGGGGAATGAATGAGGGGACTGGTGGAGTGTGACAGGGTTCACTGCTGGGGTTATTATTGTTTACATTGTGTAGGAATAATTTGGAAGTGGAAACAGAAACAAAGCTGTCAGTAGTGTCCAAACATCAGATTAACTCAGTGGGAGACACTCTTTCCACTGGGTCAAAAGATTGTGGGTTCACGGCCCTCCTCTCCTGACTGCTTGTTCAGGTGGATGGTAAAACTTTTTTTTGGTCAGCCAAGTGTCTGAGACATGCGGAAACCCATCACCACAGTAAAGATCCAAAGTCTTCCATTTATGCTACCCACACACGGAAACTTCCCGTGTCTGGAATGACTCTCTCCCGGAATGATGCCCAAACATTTCCCTGGTGACTGGGATGCCATCCCGATGTCAAAGCTTCCACATTCATGTAATTTGTTGTTGAAGACCCTTCTCTTCAACTGTGCCTTTGGTCACCCTCCACACCCTCCACAACTCCTGATCTCAACCACCAGCTCGGGTGTGAATCCCTGACTGTCCAGCGCCTTGCGATATCCTTCTGACGTCTTCCTCCAGGCGCTATACAAATGTAATTTGTTGTTGTTGTTGTTGATGCACTCTGCTTTGCAGCAGCCAAGCCAGAGTGCGTGTTGGGGTTACTGCACACAGCCTGCCATTGAGAGGATCATCTGGCAAGACATTAAAAATCCAGAGTCTCTATTTAATAATAATAATAATCTTTGCATTTGATATAGCGCCTTATCCCATCTTTGAAATGCCTCAAAGAGCTTCACAGAATATATTGTAAAGTGAATTGACTGTATATTTTGTGGGTGAAACAGCAGTGTCCCACAAACAGTCGTGGATTGAATGACCAAATTATTATTATTTTTTATTTTTTGGGAGGAGGGATTATTATCCCCGGAAAAGCGATTCACCAATCCAAATAACAACTGGGTTCCTACTTGCTGCTAGGTAAACAGAGGCTTGTGGAGTAAGGAAACTTGCCCAACATTACGCTCTGCCCAGGAATTGAACCCGTTCCTCTCGCTTGCAAGGCGATTACTCTAACCACTGAGCTACAGCCCTCCACTAAGCTATTTAGAAAAAGAATGGAATTTGTCCCAGTGTTCTGGCCGGTTCAAACATTGAGTCCAACTTGCAGCTAAAAAGCCACTGATGTAATCCCAATGTAAGTAAAGGAGGAAAAAAGTTCCTGTGAGAAGTTTTAGATGTGATCAAGTACTATAAAAATTTAAGGAATTTCAATCCTTGGAAAAATTAGAGAGCCACTGTCCATTGCTGTGTGGAATTGGCTGCCTTATTTCACCCACAACATACACTGTTAAATCTACTTTGCATTACATATTGTGAAGCACCTTTAGATGTGATAAAGCGCTATATCAAAAATGCAAGGATTATTATTATTATAAGGAAATAATATAATAAAAGTAATAATATAATCCTTGTATTTGATATAGCGCTTTTCAAATCTTCTAGACGTCTCAAAGTGCTTCACAGAATATGCTGTAAAGTGAATTGACTGTATATTTGTGGGCGAACGTGGCAGCCAATTGCGCACAGCAGCGTCCCACAAACAGTCGTGGATTGAAAATGACCAATTTATTATTGTTTTGTGTGGGAGGGATTATTATTAGGCGAGTGGGGTAAGGAAACTTGCCCAAGGTTTCGCCCTGCCTGGATCTGAACCCAGGTGTCTCACTTGCAAGGCGAGTGCTCCAACCACTGAGGTACAGGACTCCACCACAACAACAATGTGTATTTATATAATGCCCTTCATGATGAGGTAGCTCTCCACTTCTCAAAGCCGGTCAGGAACCTCAGCGTTCTGTTCGACCCTGAGCTGTCCTTTCGTCCTCATATCTGCGCCACAACTGGCACCGCCTTCCATCACCTCCGAAACATCGCCAGACTACGGCACAACCTCACCCCTCACGCTGCTGAAACTCTGGTCCACACCTTTATCACCTCAAGGCTGGACTATGGGAACTCTCTCCTCGCCGGCCTTCCCGGCACCTCCCTCCACACTGCAGGTCATTCAGAACTCTGCAGCTCGTGTACTGTCCCGCACCAGGCTTCGCGACCACATCACTCCCACCCTCACTCGCCTCCACTGGCTCCCCATCCCCAGAGGATCGAATTCAAGATCCTCATCCTCACCTACAAGGCCATTCACAGCCTCGCTCCCTCCTACCTCTCCGATCTACTATCCCCCTACCTACCTGCCCGTACCCTCCATTCCTCTGGCTCCGGTCTGCTCCACATCCCCCGCCCCAACCGCCCTACCATCGGTGGCCGGGCCTTCAGCCTCTCAGCCCCGAGGCTCTGGAACTCCATCCCCCAGTGCCTTCGCTGCTTCCTCCCTTTCCTCCTTCAAGGCCGGTCTCAAGACCTTTCTCTTTGACCGTGCCTTCAGCTCCCCTCTCGACTCTCTACCCCCTTCTCGCTCCCTCCCTTTCCTCCCCTCACTCTGACCATTTCCCTCTTGCTCGGGTCCTGATCCAACTGTCCAGCGCCTTGGGACGTCCTCCCGACATGAAAAGCGCTCTATAAATGAAATCTTGTTGTTGTTGTTGTGAAGGGAAATGGATGGAGGATAGCAAGAGAGGATCAGAAGGGATGAAGGCTCATTTGCAATATTAACATCGTCATGGACTAGTTGGGTGAACGGCCTCTTTGGGTGCTGTACACTCTATATAAATCTATGTATGTAATATGTAAATGATGCAGCCATGGGCATGGACCACTTTCAGATTCCACACAAGGGATGGGAGCGAGGTGGGTGACAAAACATTGCTTTGATGTCTGAAGAACTCAATTGGAAAAGGCTTGGAAAAGCATTCAGTGCAGAGTGGTCTTTTGAAGTTTTGGATCAAAGTGATCTTCGGTCATTTAAATCACATGAATTGGGAGAACACGTGAATTGAATTACGTGATCATTTAAGGATGATTTATATGGAGCCTGCTACACTTGCAATTGTCACTTACATAATAATTATGCAAAGGAGCTGATTGATTTGTACAGTCCTGATGTCTCATTGTTCACGTTAAACATTTCCCCGGAAAAATACACGGGGCTCGGAAATGTCATTAAAAATCAAAGCAAGGTTCTAACTAAAACGATAGACACAGTGTAAATGGGAACACATTTTAATGTAAAGAGAGAAAAAGAGAATGAGAGAAAGAGAGAGAGTGAAGTCACCTCAAGATCACAAGAGGTTTGGTTGCTTGGGCTTTTTGATTGCAACTTCCAGGAACATCCACTTTCTTCTTCACATTTCTTAAATTAGTCCTAGGCTCGACCACCCTTCCTGATGATGTATTTCAGCCATTAATCCCTCAGCTATAAAGAAATACTTCCTGGTGTCTATCACAAAATTGCTTGTTACAACACTGAACTCTGTCAACCCTTTTAAAACCTGTCTCAAAGCCTATCTCTTTGGCTATCTTTTGTAACCCCACCCTCTGTCCTCTTCCCCCACATCAGCCATCCGGCTCAGGCTCCCACTCGAGCTGTGGGTGGGAGCAGAATGGGTGCGGAGGGGAAAGATGACTGAAGGTGTAGTCAAAAAGTAGAACTTGAGATGGACCTTGAAGGAGGTGAGAAAGGGAACACGTTGGAAGGATGGAGTTCAATCAAGTGGGGGCAGATAGGCTGAAAGCATGATGTTCAAAAGTGGAGTGGGTCAGGCGGCGAACATGAAACAATCCCGCTGAGCAAAACGAGTGGCCAGGTCAGTACGGTGGAGGTTACAAGATACATTTGATAGAATGCTTTTATAATGTTTACAGAAGAGATATTTGGGTAGTATTGAGGGGTATTACAAAAGGGCTGGGCATTGAGATTAAAATGCCAAGATCTTATAAATTGATGGAATAGGCTCAGTGAGCTGAATGGCCTCCTTCTGTTTTCCTCTGTGCAATTCCTTACCACAAATGTGCAATTTCTTATCACAAATGGCTGTAGAAGCCAAGCCAATAACTGCCTTCAGCAGGGAGCTGGATAAATAATAATACTTATATTTGGTAAAGTGCCTTTCACATCAGGGGGATATCCCAAAGCGCTTCACAGGATATTC